GACTGAGAGAACTCTGACACAAACTGCTCTTTGAGGAACAGCTGTGCCAGAGCTTAAGACTGACCCAAGGTCACATCAGCAGGTGCAAGTGGAGGAGTGGGGAATCAAACCCGGTTCTCCCAGATTAGAGTCAGCACACTTAACCCCTACACCAAACTGGCACAGCTGAGCTCACTACTTTTTAAATAAATGCTATTTAAACCTTTCTTTTATGTGAAGACAAACCTGCCTCTGTTTGTTCTCCTACCACTGGCCTACTTAAGGGTAGAACAGCTAAAGCCCTATACTGAGATTTAGAATATTTGTTAAAAATAAACCTGTATCCTTTCTTAAAAGCCTATTTAACACAACACACAGCTAAACCAGAAGCACATACAGAGAGCACTCAGCACACCCCTACGCCTAAGAAAGCCCAAACAAAACCTGCTAAAAGGCAGAACAGAAAAGGCGACAGTGTACCTAGCCCCACCCCCAAGCAGAACCCTAGCCCCCCCAAAACCAGGAGGCCTGGCCAAGAAAGACACATAGACCTTAAAACAAGCAGAACCCCCCCAAAAAAAAACCCCCAAGAAAGTAGACCAAGCCAACAAAACCCAAAGACAGACCTTAAAAACCTTAACTGCAAAAAGGAACTCAGGGACCCAACAAGAACCAAAGATACACCAACAAAGAAAGACCTAGGCCCCAAGCAGAAACCCCCCAAGAAAAAACCCAAGAAAGAAGACAAGCCAAAAAAACCCACAGACAGACCTTAAAAACCTTAACTGCAAAAAGGAACATAGAGATCCAACAAGAACCAAAGGCACGCCAACAAAGAAAGACCTAGGCCCCAAGCAGAACCCCCTCCCCCCAAGAAACTCCAGAAGCCTTGAAAATAATGTAACACAAAACTTAACCAAAATAAACTGTGAAAAGACAAGGAAGCAACAGAGAAGAACCACAACAAAACTGTGTCAAACTCAAAACCAAAAACAAAAAAGGCCTACCCCCCCCCCCAGGAGATGCTGCGGGCCAAATAAAAAAAAAGGCCCTAGGGCCTAGGCCTACCCACACCAACCCCAGTTCCAAACCACCAAAACAAAGATGATTTTTTTAAAGAAGTGCCCTAATATTTTTCAAACCAGGCCAGGAAAAGGGGTTCAAGGGAGC